CAGCACTGATTTGCTCTCTCCTGACTAATTATGTGTTTAGTAACAGTCGTGTCTGAATGCGCGACTGTAACTGGGGCAAAAGGCTAAGTGACCCCGTTTTGAGCCCTGCGCCAATAAAATTTCACTTGAATTTTATTTTCCGTTTGTACAGAATTAGCAACAGACTTTCAGAGCTGCCGAATTCCAGAATCCGATAACAACTTGGACGCTGGTACTAAAAGTGGGGCCTAAGCTTTAAAGTAACGTTGGTTGCTAGAGGATTATTTATGTTTCCGGGATTTAAGTGCAGAATCATTATTTTCGTAGAACTCGGATAGATGATCACGATATGAAAGTTAGGAATTCAGATTTAAGTTATGGTTCACAAAAATAAGTTTGGTTCAAGTGAGCTCCTTGTAGTATCCTCGAGTTATTTTTAATGCTCTAAGCCAGAAGTTCCTAAAACGTAGTCTTCGGAACAGCTGGGATTAAAAAAAATTATAAATTAATAATTTACATTAATAATTAGTACAGATGTACAAAGATTCTTATAGGATAAATAAAGAACCGTACCAGATTTTTTCTTCTCGTCTTTAGTTAGTACCGAGGTGAAGAATCAGTACGTGCAATGCCTTTCTACCCCTCCCCCAAGCGACTAAATGGCGTGTAGTGAGGCGGCTTTACTTTATTTCAGTTGTTAATGAACCATGAACCGGGAGGGAAATCATGAAGTTACCCAGAACGGTGTCACTTCCTTAATAGATTTACAATCCAGCAACCATTTTGTACTCAAGTTTCAAGTGGTCCTGGGGAAATGTTCCAGAATCTCTGCTGTAAACATTTTTTTTTTTAAACTTCCAGATTGTCGGCGCCATTTGTAGTTGATTGAAAGATGCGAACTGAGTAATTTATCATTCCATAAAATGCATGAAACTTCTTGACTAGCTGAGTTGAGCTCAAGAGGGACGCCGGTCCATAGCATTTTTAGGGCTGGAAGGCTGTAGGCCTATGCAGCAGGGGGAGAAAGGACTGAATTCTGTCTGGAACTCCCGTGTTCGTCTCTGAAAAATAAGGAAGTGGTTTGTGACGATGGGAGTGTCTCAGGATCTGGCTGGCTTTATTTTTGAATCTTTTTATCACCAGCTATTTGTTTATTGTTATAGCGACTTTCAGACGTTATTTTAGGGGAGGATGTAAAATCTTACGGTGCCTTATAACAGGATGCTCATGTTGTCACTTCTGAGCGGTTTTTCAATCTTCACTGCGGCTTGTGTAACGACGTCAAAAGGCCAAACTCTTCTGTGGTCTGTCTCCTCCTTTTGACCACGAAGAAGATAAAGTTACTGTTAACAATTTCGTTTTCGTAATGACACATATGTTCTGGTTTTCTTTTGAGGCTGAAATCAAACCTTTATTTCTTTGGGGACAGCCACGGTGGTCCAGCGGTTAGAACGCTGGCCTTGTAATCCTGGGGTCTCGGGTTAGATTCCCGGCGGTGCCCGAATTTATAACTTGTGTTGGGCAAGGCCGTGGTCTAGGCAACACGGAGTTTTCCTCCGTGGCATCCCAACAATTACTCCATGCACACACAGAAGAAGGCAATGGCAAACCACTTCTGGATCATCTGCCAAGAACGGATATGAACAGGTCCCAGTCCGAGAAAAGGAGGGAAGGATCCTGTTCATATGGACCTATCGTCACACAGAACACTTAATAAATAAATAAAATTTCTTTGGGATCGACCCGAATCCATGTGTTTCCAGCAAAGACGTTTTGTATGTTCTAGCGGTGTCAGAATGTTTGATGGTTTGATTTTTAAACTGTGGTTCAAATAATTCTTTTGCGGTTTGTTATTTTTATTTGAATGACGTCTTACCATATGCTATATCTCACTGTGTGAACTCCATGATAATTAGGCCATCCAGACGTAATGTAAATAAAACGAAAATAAGCTTGTTCTTCCTTCAAGAGCTTTATCTAAAGAAGAATCGATAAAGTCGAACTGGTTACCTCCAAAGCTTTCAACACTGAAGTGATTTTCATTAAGACAATTTGCATTTAGTTCTGTTTATTGTATTTGGTAAGGCAGATAAAATTCCAGACGGACATGGACTCCGACAGTGAAACTCTCGAAATTTTTCATCTGATATTTTTGTTTAGTCTAACTTGCACACAGTTTCGTTATAATAACAGTTGTTCTAACTAAATATTAAGATGCCAAGGGTTATTGAGAATGCCGTGTAAACATAGCAATAAACTTTTTTACGTCGTACGTTTGAATATGTGCAAAGTGAAAAACATAATTGAATTATTCCAAGCAGTATGAACAGACGTATCGCAACCATCTCTTATCTTGCTGTTGAAAATTCTATTGGACGTTGCTATTCGAGGCCTGGCTGATGTTCAAGCATTTATGAATTCCGGTTTTGAAATGCGTTCATCTTGACATGACCTTATGCGTTTCAACTGACTTTTTATTCAGACTGTTGCAGGATAGTTTGTTATCCTTTTTGTAACGGTGACCGTTGAACGACAACTTCGTACATGTCGTAAAACCGGAATGACCATACCATTATGCCAAATGTCTGTCACTGGACTGTATATCGATTCAGGTGAATGAAACCCCCCTTATTACAGTCATATTTGCACGGCTTCATTTTAATATTGTTAGCCCGTTAGCTGTACGGGCAGGGATTGGCTCTGGGGTCCAAGGATTCTCCTGCCCCAACGGGCGATGAAGCTACACTTGGCTTTACCGTCTAGTTTTTGAGTGTAGGAAAAATGTCTTCCCTGCTTGTTTTCAGCTACCAGATCTCATGTTTGGGAACCCCACGTATGGATCAGAAAAAGACATCATTAAAGTCTATTGGTAATTACGTGTATACACAACCTATTTTAATGACCAGTAACGCCGTATTCTGCCCACAGAGTAAGCTTATGGGTTCCTCGTGATCTTCAGAATATACGGAAATTATTTCCCTAAACATCAAACCGGTTGATTTTTGTAATGGTGAAGAGTTGTGTTTACTTTGCGGTACGGACTGATTTCTTAAATACTGTTTGCACGAGTTTTGGGTTCAGAAGGTTAAAGTCCGATACATAATAGACATTTGTCTCCAAGCAATTAAACCAAGCTTTAAAACCAAAATTAGACTAAATGTTTAGAATTTTCAGCCTGATTCCGGGTGTTTTAACTAAACACAACGCCATGCGTTCTTGACTAACGTCAGAACTAGATGAAGGTGAGTGGTTAGCTTCCAGCAGCTTT